CGTCATGTTCAAGTGGATTTTGCAACTCAAAAAAAAACCACGCAAATCTAAAACTTCTTGAATTCAAGCATTTTTTGAGAAAACTGCAACATTTCTTTATCCATGGTTCACGTTCTAAAAAGACCATTTAGTTCTCTTTGGAATGATGTAAAAACGAGCGTTCTTGCTCATTTTGCTTCCGAGAAACATGCAAAATGGGACGGAAAACATGAAATTTTGCAATAATCTTACGCCACCTTTGCACAAAACGACGATAATTTTTCTAATTTCATAGACAACAGATGACTGTATTTTTTCTACATAAACCCCCCCTAAATTTAAAGCTGGATCCGCCCCTGCCTGTAACAAAGTGTTTATATCATGAAAGTGTTCAGCAAATGTCCCTAATCATACTTCCAGTGGTGTTCAATAGCAAGAGCATTAAGAAAGTCCCAGCTTCTGCTGGCTGGCTCCCCAACACTCCCTTAAAGACTGAGATGTCTTCTCATACCAAACTCGAACAAAAACCCACTGAATTGCTGATGTGGCCCATTTGCTGGACACCAGTATCACAAATCATGTAAATAAGAGCAGCGGCGTTATTTAACATTCGCTTGCACTAACTAAGAGGCTAGGTTGTGGGCTAACATGTGTGTGGTGTGTGTCTTTCCAGGCTTGCAATCAAGTAAGCACTTGTGCCACGTGTGCAATAAGAACTTTTCCTCGAGCTCCGCCTTGCAAATTCATATGAGAACACACACGGGCGATAAGCCATTCAGGTGCAGCGTGTGCCAGAAGGCTTTCACCACCAAAGGAAACCTCAAGGTATGTAGTGTCGCTTTTGCTTACTGACGCGCCCTAACTTTCACCGAATGGAGGCTAACAGTGTCGCTGACCTTTTGTTATCACTAATTTTCTCTGGGGGTTTGAGTTGTTGAAGTCACTGTCCTCAGCTTTCACATTGCTTGATAACTGGTATTCCAGAAGGTGTCCATTGGGTCGTAGTAATTATCTAATGTAAGCTTAGTGGGGTGTAGAATTAACCAGAGAGGGCATGTGATCTTTTTATTGGAGGACCGATATACAGACTATGAAGGCTTTCACGGCCGTTCAAATTACATTTAGGAATGTTTTCCGGGCTTTGAAGCCGTGGTCTATCGGAATTTCTTCCTGACGTTTCGTCCACAACTGCGCTGGACATTATCAA